TTGCTATTATGTGTGTGTAGTATCTGAATAGCATTGGCAACAAAGAAACAAGCAGGTTCATAGATTAATATGCCATAAATTTTCCTCTATACAGCCATAACAGACAGAGGAACTTGGACTGTGTACTTATACGTGTGTATGAATCCTTTGCATCGGATAAAAGCTTTAACCAGGCATTGATGCTGGGAAAATTTCCACTTGGGAAAAAAAAAAAAAAAAAAAAAAAAAAAAAATGCAGAAAAGAAGAAAAGACAAAGAGAAACAGGAAATAAAAATGAAAACAATTAAGAATAGACCCTAGCTTACCTTCCTCCTGCTTCTCCTCCTTCTTGGGCTTCTTTGGCTTGACCTTTGACCCCGGCCGGGCTCGCTTCTCCCCCTGCTCCGGCAACTTGACTCCTTGGGCCTAAGATAAAAAAAAAATAAAACAAAAAAAAAAAAAAAAAAAATAAATTAAACAGAAATGACTATAAAAATAAAACCACAAATTTAACACTGCTGCAATATGAACAATACAGGAAGGCAATAAACAGTCAATTGGGATATAAATATTTCATTACTAATGCTTTCTAAATAATAACAATAATAATAATAATAATAATACCAATCCAAAGAAGAAAATTGAGAAGAAAAAAAAAAAACAAGGCAATGAAGGCATATCTATATCCTTGGATGTTTCCTGCCCACTCCTACCTTGAGGTGCTCCAGCATCTCCTGGGCTCTGCGCTGGTCCTGCTTCTGCTTGGCCGTGAGCAGGCGTCCTTCTTGCCTCAGCCTCTCTTTTCTCTCTTTCTCCTTCTGCCTTTTCCTCTCCTTCTTTTCCTGTTCGAGGCGCTTCGCTTCTTCAATCTGTCTGAGCTGTAAGGTAGAGAGGGGGGGGGGGGGGAGACAGAAAGGTTAGTAATTGATCTTATTTATTTATTTATCTATTCATTTATTTACTTATCATTTTTTTTCTTTAGTATATACTGCACAATTATATTCAATATCTGATGATGGTTTGTACGTCTTGCTGTAGGTGTAGCAAAACTAGGTCTGAATTCTATTCTAAGATTCATCAAACACTCTTCCCTAAATTTGTAAAGAAAGAAGGGCCCAGCGACAACCCACTTACTCTCTCCTCCTCTAGTCTCTGTTTCTCCTCCTCTTCTCTCTGAAGTCTCTCTTCCTCCTCCTTCCTCTTGGCCAGTGCTTCCTTCATGGCGGCCAACATCTTGGCACTTGGCTTACCCTTCTTGGATTTTGTCTCCTCCTCTTTCTCTGGCTCTCCCTTCTTCTTCTTCTTGGCTGATGGGAGAGAGAGAGATGGTAGGGAGGTTAGGTGAAGGCAGATGAAAATGGGAAGAGGGATGGGCGAGAAGATAGGTGGAAGAGACAGGATGGGAGGGAAGGGGAAGAGGGGAAAGGAGAACTATGTAGCAAGACCTTTGTCAATAGGCCTCTCTTCAAATCCTAACTCCTAATTAATCTGTTTATTCTCTGACTTAGCAAGAGCTAGGATAGGTATAGGGAATCCCCGTTATTTGCTGCCCCATTATTCGTCACTGATGTTTGTGGATGAATCACCGATTGTACTTCATTGTGGCTTCTAAAAGTTTATACACATATGACCACAAACACACAAGAAACTAATGTGAAATTAAATCAAAAATAAAATATGAACATGAATTCCATAATATTTATAAATGTAACAAACTTTAAATTTGTGCATGCTGCTAGTGTGATCTCAGGTGTTGTTGAGGGCAGAATAGTTAAAAGTGATAATAACAGTGAATCTGCACCTGATACTGGATGCTCAAGGGGAGCATGATCTTTCATGGCTTTTTTTACTGAAATATTCAAGAAAATTCTCAGCTGTTCTGACAATTTTCAGCAGGCTATTAGCAGAAAAAAAACTCCTTCCACCTTCTTGATAGATACTGCATCTATCAAAGAGGTGCACAAAGTCATACTCTAGGAAGTTGTTTGTCCAGCCAAAAAAATCAGAAATACACTACCTCAAGCACCCTAGGGTATCACAGACTAGCTGATTATCCCAGTAGACACACCGGACTCAAGATTTTAAAAGCGAAAAAAGCTAAAAAGATACAGGCCACCTTCCACTCTTCTTTAAAATGCCCTCCTATTGCACACGGATTGCATGATGATCCTCCCCCATCCACCTCAACCACCCCTGTTCCTTCACAAGAAACGAGACATGTGATGCATAAAGATTAAAATCCTCTCCCCACCTACCCATGCAAATCCATACCTTTGCTTCCCATTGCCTCTGCAACAAACCAGCAGCCCCTCTCTGAACTCGTGTTGCAAGTTATAATTACTTCATGGTTCACAACCATTTGCATATCTCTTATGTACTGACTTTTCTTTACTAAAAATGTTGGTATTATTCCTTTTAGTATCATGACAATAATGTACATATAAATCATATGCTTGAGCAAACCATTGAATATTATGGTCATAGTCTAAATACACCTTTTATAATGTATTCTTATGGGATTTTCTGTATTGCTGTTTGACTGAATCATTCTTTGTTGTATTTTTCTAGTCCATAGCAAAGAAGAATAACAGGAATCTCCCATTTCTCTCTTCTACACAATCTTCTTACAAACAAATCAAAATGCCCTTTTCATTAACCCATTCATCAATCTATAAACCAACTAATAAATCAAGATATTTTAGAAATCAAAATTCCTTTGTAAAATGCATATACAAACTAATTTCATCTCCATAAAATTTCCTTTTGTCTTCATCTACCTGAATCAAGTTAAATTTTTAAAATCCATTACCTAAGTATAACACAATTATTGTATGTCTTCATTTCTCTGAAAAGACTATTGCCTTTATCAGTCTGTTTCCTTCTTGTTATCTATCTACCCATTTTCTAACAATCTATCAACCCATCTATTTTTTATCTATCCCTGCATCCAAGACTCTATATTTTAATCAGCCCATTCATCTATCCATTTATTTTTTCATCTGTCCATTCATCTATCCATTTATTTTTTCATCTGTCCATTCATCTATCCATTTATTTTTTCATCTGTCCATCTATCAATGCATCCATTTTTCTGTCAATCATCCACACCTCTCGACCTCAACCTATTAACCAAACTAGATTGAACACTCACCATCTGCCCCCTCAGCTGCCTTGGCATCACCCTGCAACACAGAAGAGGAGATATCAGAATGTTGTTATAGCCTCTTCATTAAGAAAGAGGGAGAGGGAGGGAGGGAGGGAGGGAGGGGAGGGGAGGGGAGGGGAGGAGAGGGGAGGAGAGGAGAGGGGAGGGGAGGGGAGGGGAGGGAAGGGGAGGGAAGAGAAGAGAAGAGAAGAGAAGAGAAGAGAAGAGAAGAGAAGAGAAGAGAAGAGAAGAGAAGAGAAGAGAAGAGAAGAGAAGAGAAGAGAAGAGAAGAGAAGAGAGGAGAGGAGAGGAGAGGAGAGGAGAGGAGAGGAGAGGAGAGGAGAGGAGAGAAGAGAAGAGAAGAGAAGAGAAGAGAAGAGGAGAGGAGAGAAGAGAGAAGGGAAGGGAAGGGGAAGGGGAAGGGGAGGGGGAGGGAAGATGGAGGAGGGAGAGGGAAGGTGGAGAAGGAGAGGAGGGAGAGGGAGAGGGAAGGGGGGATGGGGAGGGGGAGAGGGAGAGGGAAGGGGGGAGGGGGAGGGAAGGGGGGGAGGGATTGGGGCAGGGAAGGAAAGAGTGAGGGAGAGGAAAGGGAAAGTCAAGGGAAAGGGAAGGGAAAGGGAAGGAGAATGGGAGGGAAGGGAAAGGGAAGGAGAAGGAGGGAAGGAAGAAATGGAGAAGGAGGGGAAAGAGAAAGGAAGGGGTAGGGAAGGGGAAGGGGAAGGGGAAGGGGAAGGGGAAGGGGAAGAGGAAGGGCAAGGCAAGGGAGAGGGGGAGGGAAGGAAAGAGGGAGAGGGAAGGAAAGGAGAGGGAAGGAAAGAGTGGGAGGGAGGAAAAGGCAAGGGAAAGGGAAAGGGAAAGGGAAAGGGAAAGGGAAGGGGAGGGAAAGCAAGAAAGAGAGATTATGAAAATAAAAATATTGAGAGAGGGAGAGAGAAAGAATTTTGTTACATACAGATGGCTCCACATGTACTCAGCCAGCAAGGAGTCTATCAGTAGCCCTAGTGACTGTTCCTGATTTTCCAATTCCTTGAATTGGCCAGAGAATGTGTTTTTCTTTAATACTATTAATATTAATACTGTTATCATTCTTATCAATATTACGATTATTAAATTGTTCTTAATAAATCTCTGGTAATATTAAAGACAATGAAATAATACAAAAGGTACTTTCCAAAAATCAAGGAAAAGGGTAAACAGGTGAGATAGGTAGAACTAATAATTGATTACTTGGTGATTAAGCACCTGTAGAACCATCCATGTGTAAATAAAATAGATAATCTAATATCACAGTGGGCATGGCATGTGCTCTTGCCATCCGTGCCGACTGGGTTAAGAGAGAAAGAATAAGAAACCGACAGAGAGAGAGCCAAAGACAAACTGATTTCGAACGGCAGCTAAGCCTCATAAGCCCAAAGCCAACAATACAGCCTCTTGTTTACCTTGGCTTCTGCGGCATCTTTGTTTTTCTTTTTCTTCTTTTTACTGGCAGAGCTTTCTTCTGAAGCTTCTTCCTCCTGAAAAACAAAATTAGGCTATAGTGAAATCAATTCAAATCAAATCAAAACAAACACACACACACACACACTCTCACACTCACACTCACACACACTCTCACTCTCACACACACTCTCACTCTCACACACACTCTCACTCTCACACACACTCTCACTCTCACACACACTCTCACTCTCACACACACTCTCACTCTCACACACACTCTCACTCTCACACACACTCTCACTCTCACACACACTCTCACTCTCACACACACTCTCACTCTCACACACACTCTCACTCTCACACACACTCTCACTCTCACACACACTCTCACTCTCACACACACTCTCACTCTCACACACACTCTCACTCTCACACACACTCTCACTCTCACACACACTCTCACTCTCACACACACTCTCACTCTCACACACACTCTCACACTCACACACACTCATTCTCACACTCACACACACTCATTCTCACACTCACACACACTCATTCTCACACTCACACACTCATTCTCACACTCACACACTGATTCTCACACTCACACACTGATTCTCACTCACACACACTCATTCTCACTCACACACACTCATTCTCACTCACACACACTCATTCTTACACACACACACTCATTCTCACACTCACTCTCACACACTCACACTCACTCTCACACACTCACACTCACTCTCACACACACACTCACTCACTCTCACACACTCACACTCACTCACTCTCACACACTCACACTCACTCTCACACACACACTCACTCTCACACACACACTCACTCACTCTCACACTCACACTCACTCTCATACACACACTCACTCTCACACACACTCTCACTCACACACACACACTCTCTCTCTCACTCACTCTCACTCTCACACACACTCTCACACTCACCCTCACACACACTCTCACACTCACTCTCACTCTCACACTCACTCACTCACTCTCTCACTCACACTCTCACTCACTCTCACATTCACTCACACTCACACTCACACTCACTCTCACACTCACACTCACTCTCACACTCACACTCACTCTCACACTCACTCTCACTCTGGACGGTCTCTCCCAATCATCCTCAAAATCCAAGTCGAACCCGAAAACAGCCTTCACGAAACCACACTCCAAGACTCATCAATTAGGCCACACTGCTCGAGTTGCAACTCCAAGCCCTTCCCCCAGCCGCCCCTGATCCTCACCTTGGGCTTGGGCGGCTCGACCTCGGCCTCGGGTCCGTTCTGCTTCTTCTTGTTGTTCTTCTTCTTGCCGGCGTCCTCCTCGTCCTTGGCCTCGTCCTCCGGGGCCTTCTTGGGCGGCTCCTCCTTGGGCTTCTCCCCCTTGTACTCCATCTCCAGCTCCTGCAGCATCTTGTCCAGGTCCTCGTCGTCCTCGTAGCCCTTCTTCTTGCCCTTCTTTCCCTTCTTGCCTTTCTTGCCCTTGTCGTCGTCTGCCGCTGGTGGGGGGGCCGCCTCCTCCTCCTCCTCCACTCTCTCTTTCCTCTTCTCCTCTTCCTTGTTTTTGCTCTTGCCGTCCTCCTCTACTTCTGCCTCTCTGGTCTCGTCTGCGCCCTTCCTGGTTTTCTGTGGAGGGTGTGGAGGGTTAGTGCCGCCTGGAGTGCCAAGGGATACAGCTGCGGCACTGCTACCTATACTTTGGAGGCTGAGGTGTCTTGGATAAACATTCAGATGAGGGTCGTGATAGAAATAACAATAACAACAATAATATCAGTGATTGTGACAATAACATAACAGCCCAGAGGCGCACCTTCTTCTCCTTCTTCTCTGGGACTGGCTCGGGGGCCTCGGCCGGGGCTTCCTCGGGGGGCAGCTCCCCGGCCTCGGCCAGCCTCATCTGCTCGAGCTCCTTGGCAATGTCATCCTCCCAGTCCTGGTTCTTCTTCTTGCCCTTTTTGCCCTTCTTGCCCGCGTCGGACGCAGGGGGGGCGCCATCCGGCATGCCGTCGGCCGCTACGTCCTCCACCTCACCATTCCTGGGTTGGGAAAGGGACGTTACTGCTCACTGAAACTCCAGGCCTTACAAGAATACATAAAAACTCTTCTTATAAAGTACTTTCACTTATACGACTTTTGCAAATATTGAATACATGTTGTGATACTTCTAGATATTTGAAAAGGAAACAGATGATATCTTCTGATTTTAATTAAATTTAGCATAATGATACTTTTTTATGGTTAGTTCTATTAAAACAGTTATTGTTGTGCTCCTTCCTGTCCACCCAAATCAATCATATTTCATAATATGTCAGTGTGTGTATTAACAAAACTTTAACAAAAGGAAAAACTGTCACTTAAATAACAGAAAACAGGTAATACAATTAATCATTATAAGCCAATACATAAAAGAAAAGAGAGGGAGAGAGAAAAAATAAATTTGGGAGAGCAACTTCCTAATTGCAAAAGATCCTGTCCCTCTAACCGTCACAACCTCGACATCATTACATTGCACGAGATTTACTAAATGTAACTTGCTCTTGTTTAACATACTGTAATATACACTAAATATACCAGAATGTACTGCGACATAGAAGCTTAAGGCAATATCAGTTGGATGGGAACATTACAGTTTCACACAAATGTACAAGATAACACCTTTTGGATAAATGACATCACTGCAAATTAAAATTACAGCTGTGAATGTAAACTTTGTGATCATATGACTGCCATGATTTACATGCCTTTAGTGCTCTGGCAAAGGTTAACGAATCTCAACCAAGTAAACTGGCTTGATAGAACTAGGAATCACTTCTCATTTGACAATAAAATCCTCCGGGTCTACGAGATGTCTACTTGGGTCATATCACTGCTATGAAAGGTGCTTTCTGCTTTCAATGATTGTATAAATCAAACATCTACTTTACTTTCAACCTGCTATGGCTATATTACAAAAGTGGAATGGCTTGGAATTCACAATTCTATCACTTCCATGTATCATTTCCTTTGATGAATTAGCAATAGGCCTATAGGCAATTACTGAAAATACGACCGGAAAAACGCAAAACAAAAAAACAAAAACAAAAACAAAAAAAATCGCAAAAAAAAAAAAAGAGAATAACAATCTAACAGTTGTCAAAAATATATCCACATCACAGTGTATAGAAAATGACACCCACACAATAAAAAGCTTAATAAAAATTATGATGCATCAAACAATACTTATGGCCATCTAGAAACCTTTACCATATATATATAATAGCAAGATCGAGCTTACAGTCTTCCCTGACAATTTGCCATCAAACAAGGAACCAGCACAAGCAAAGTGTCGAACCTCCATTACGCATATTCTACCTAAAATATAGATAGTAGACGTTTGTTGACTTCTGGCACAACACAAAGACTAATTTGAGGACCTGCTTGCAAACTATGGAGATCTGGGTGTTGCACTATTCAGACATAGATGAGTGAAGTATATATTCCTTTGGTACTCTGGCAAAAAACAACTGAACTCTTTCACATTTATTTTGGCAAGATTGGTGGCAGATTTCTGAATGGGGGGGGGGGGTGAACATGTACTAGGGGGGTACTTTCCACCAACGCAAAAAGGGCACAAGCTACAGGCCTATACGAAGAGGCAACTTTATCAGTGCATTTTGGAGGCACTTCCAGGCACTATGAAGTAAATTGTGACATTTTTTGTGGTAACCAATGCATAAAATAGATAATAAAAATATGGCATAGGTAGCATGTATGATATACCACAAACAATGCATCAAAAGTTATCTGAAATTATACACATAACTTTTTGGTTCTAATATATATTAGCAGAACTATATTTACACTAGTGCCTAATTTATTCAAGCACTTCTGCATACTGTCTGTCACTTTGTTGCTAAGGTAGAATTAATCCCCGCATGTGCCGAGGCAAGGGAAGCCGCCAGAGTTTTTATTCAGCTTAACTCTGAGCACATTTATCTTCTGTGACTAATTATATTCCCTTATGCATCTGCTGAGTTTTAATAATAATCTTTTTCATCAATGACAACACAGTCAATTCAAAATTTATCAACAGCAGGTGGGGGATTCCAAATTCTTTTCTTTTTTCCCACTTTCTAATAACTTTTATGAAGGAGTTCTCACTTTGCAGCATGATATACAAACACAACATTCCCTATAAAACATAACACCAAAGAGAACAGCAAAGGAAACGCACAAACATCCCAAACACCTTGACAGCAAAGAAGCAAAACAGCGGAAAAGACCTTCAGTATATTTGCACATTTTTTCTCCCTTTCCTCTGACGTCACATCAATAATTCATTCGGCATATGACACATGACACTAGCTCAACATGAGCAAACATATGTTCACAGACATAAGTGACAATACACATACACATCAATACATACATTTACTTACATGACTGACATACACACTTACATTTGATGCTTATAATTAATAGACACACATGCAAGACTGCAACTTAACACAGACACACTGCCATAACACACGCACATAGAACTCACACACATGTACGCACACACGCAGCCACAGTACAAAAGCACGTGCACAGACAACTACACTCAACAAAACCATGATTATTGCATCATTAATAGAGCATATACAGATGAAATAAGTTTTAATGAAATAAGAGTAAGTTTTAATCTTATGTGAAAGTTATTCCTGAAGAGAAATTATTTTTTTTATAGGTTTTAAGGAGAGGAAATAAAAACCGCAAAAGATGTTTAGTGAAATGACTTCTCCTCCTGAATGAAACGTGAAAGAAACTGTGAATGAAATGAATAAAGCGTGAATGAAACCGTGAATGAAATTAATAAAACATGAATGAAACGTGAAAGAAACCGTGAATGAAATGAATGAAGCGTGAATGAAACCGCCTTTGGAGAATAAAACCCGCAAAACTTTCACTCGGGAAATAATAGGAAATTACACCACGTTGGGGTCACATTTTGCCCCCAAAATAATAAAAGGAACTTCCCTCAGAGACTCACAAAACTTCGGGTGGATAAAACGAAGCCTCCTGACACGACTGGAAACCTCGAAAGACCCCATCAGGACGCCCTAAAAGACCCTTAAAACCCCTAAAAAACCCTTAAAACCCCTAAAATCATCCCAAACCTCCAAGCACACATACCGGTCTGTCCCCCTAAACCCCAACCCTTCCCTCATTTCCGCCCTTTTCCCGGCCCTCTCGCCCCTTCCCTCTCCTCACGCCCTCTCCCCCGCCCTTCCCGAGTCCCCCTCTCACTCACGTCTCGGCCTTGGATCCTTTTTTCTTGCCCATTTCCTTGATTTTGGAACTAGCATGAAAGCGTGCGTGCGGCGGCGACCATATGTTTTCTCTCTCGGGCTGGCGGCGCGGCGGGGATGTGGCACCACTG